ACCAAACACATTTTGTTAAGTTAAGGCATTCTTTAAATGCTATTTAGAATATATTCAGTTATACTTAATTTACAAAGTATTTTCTTTTTGTGTTTTTTGTTAAGTCAGAGATCTAGTCGTATCAAAAATTGTGAGTCTGACATTATAAAGTTGACATATGGTAGCTCATAGCACGCAAAATTAGGTAATAGTACAGATTCTCTAATCTAATATCAAAAAAGCAGGAAAGAAAATTAAGATCCTTATAGAGTCCTTCTGGTGAGTGAAAAAATGCTCTCTTATGTTGACATTTCTCTCACTGTTAATCTTAGGAAAAAAATATTTTGCAAGTTAATCCTTCTCCTATTTGAAAACATTTATACTTGGAAGTTTTTGTCTGCGAATTATTTTGCTCTATGACATAAATCCCTTTTTCAAAAACAATCCCAAAGCATAAAAACTGAAATAAGGCTGAAAACTTGATGTTAATTTTTTACCTGTTTAAAATGTTGCATTTAGGTTAATTTGCACAGTGTTAAAAATGTACTGTCAAAGTATTGGATTAAAATATACTCCACGTAGAGTTCTAATTTAACTTTTCTTTTTATATAACTGTTACACAAATTTTTTCCTCAAACATTTTTTTTTAAGTTTTGAAAATTATTGGTGGAAAAATGCTATTTCATATTAAGACAGAAATCATAGCTTCTAGTCTAAATGTTCCTCAAACATTTCAATAGTTGCTCTATTTGATAAATACAAAGACCTGGACGTCTCTAAATGTAATTCTATGAGAAAAAAAGCGAAATAAAAAAACTGCATTGAGTTTTACTTTTTCAAGGGGCTAACAACAGCGACATCTACCGGCTAAATGTTTGAATACAGCTGCTTTTTCCCTATAGTTAGAAATTTTATTTTGACAAATAAATTAGTTATTAGGTGTTATAAATTGTTTTCTTAGTCGTCTGTACTGTTAAAACTCAAAATAAATCGTTTGCAACACATACTTTGTAGCAGGGGGTTGTTGTCCCATTGTAAGCTGTTTTATAGCCTGTTACAGAGGAAGCACTGCAGGGGTTGGCGTTGTTCCATTAACTCAACCACACGGCTCTGTTTCTGTGAAATCACGTACGCTAAATTAAAACTGCTAGCTTTTCTTTTTTTTTTTTTTTTTCCTTTTTCCAGGCTACAGCTTTGCGCAACTAGGAAGATGTGCTAAGACAAGGTTTCTTGATAAAGAAACATTACATTTTCTTTTTTTTTTCTTTGTAATTTTTATCTTTTTTGCTGTGTTTAAAGATTTTTCCAGAAAAAATAAAAATAACAATTCGCCGAAAGACCTTGCATTTTATATCTTGACAATTTATTAGCAACCTTTCTTAGATATTTTTATTGTAGGCCCTATTTCTTTTACATAAATTGATACTTTTTAAAACCGTTATTATAATATTATGGTGGGTTCTATAATAAATAAACACTGGATTTATTTAAAACAGTTAATCCATTGTAAACACACAAAATAAATTTTATTCTTAAAGTTTATAAAAAGAATCACTATATTAAACTATAGTATTACTTTAGAAATACTTTCATTATCGTATATTTGTTGAATTATAGCTATTTCATTGTCACACAGCGTTATGTGTTCTGAGACTGTTTAAGGTATTAACATGAAGAAGTCGGTGCAACAATCTGATCCCAGGTCAGCTGTTCGTATACTCTGCGGGGTGTCACTCATCACACTGCGCATGCGTGGATGTCAGCAGTGGGGGCGACGAGGATGTGGGGTACTAAGAGCCAAAGATATTCATCTCTTTTTCTATTTCCGTTTGATTTTTATTTTGAATGTTAAATAAAAAGTCAAAGTTTTTATAAACCATAATTTTTTTAAACGTCATTTAGAATCATAGTAATTAAATCGTGAATAGATACATTAAAAAAAAAGCAGTATTTATAACCTTCACCTTCATGAAAATAACAACAAAAAAGTTTGATCCATGTCATACAAAAGCAACATAAGAAGTGAAAAAAAATATATATATAACACATATAGCCATAATATTAATAATTAATCTACATTAGCTGTGGGATTTTGACTGAAAAAAAAAGTTAACAACACACATCTGTAATAAGTTATGGGAGTTTTAGCTTTAAAGTGATTAAGATTATATAAAATTATAGCTTGCAATGACTACAGGTTAACTGCAGAGTTTTATCCCAGATTTCTGCAATGGACATTTCTATTGATATGAATCTCAATTAAAATACAAGTGAACATTTATAGGCAAGGCAAGGCAAGTTTATTTCTATAGCACATTTCATGTACAGAACAATTCAAAGTGCTTTACATAAAACATTATAAGCAAAAGGGAAAGAAAACAATTAAAAACAATTAAAAGCGTGATTCAAAATTAAAAACATTTAAGATTAAAAAGAGAGAATACAGAGACAGGCGAATTTTAACTTTTGAATAAAATCTACGTGAATGCAGCTGAGAACAGGTGGGTCTTCAGCCTGGATTTAAATAAACTAAGTGTTTCAGCTAATCTGAGACTTTCTGGGAGTTTGTTCCAGACATGTGGAGCATAGAAGCTGAACGCAGCCTCTCCATGTCTGGTTCTGACTCTGCGAACTGATAAAAGGCCGGATCCGGATGACCTGAGGGGTCTAGTAGGTTCATACTGGGTCAAGAGGTCACTGATGTATTTTGGGCCTAAACCATGCAGAGCTTTATAGACCAGCAACAGAACTTTAAAGTCTATTCTCTGATGGAAAAAGAGTAATACAGAAAGATAATTTCTTAGCAATAAATTGTGGTGTTTGTATTGATCAAATAGTATTTTAAAATGAACAGGATGAGTTTTGATTGAATCTTTTTTTATTTGTTAAGCTAAATCAAAATAAATTAGTGAATAAAAATCAAAATCTTGTCAAAAAAAAAAAAAACTTAAAAAGAAAACTGCCAATGTCAGTTAGATTCTATTTTGCAATTGCAGCTATGAGTAGTACACAATACCTGCATTCATTTATTTTTTTTTATAATTCATAATGTTTTATATAAAAAAAAAAAGCAAGAAATGAAAAAAAAAAGAAAAAAAAAAAAGAAACAGACATGCGGCCCCTTTTTTAGGTGGTTCCAAAAATTATTATTTTAAGTGCATTGGTATCAAGATAGATCTCAGTTCTTTTAGCAATATCATATTAAATTGATAACTCAAACGGCTAATATTAAATCTGGAATCCATAAACTAAAAATCTCTTTAATCACTTTTAAAGAAACATATTTTTTCTTTACATTTGAACATTTTTGCAAAGCATTAAAACAAAAACAAACTAAAAAAAAAAATGCTCCAAAATTATCCCTTTTAAGTGCAGAAAACATCGAAATGTTTGTTTTGTTAAAAAAGGAAAATTATTTTGGTATTTTGGAACCACATAAAATTAGGAAAGGACAATAGAACTTGCTGTTTTAGATGAGGAGATAATAATAATAATAATAATAATAATAATAATAATAATAATAATAATAATAATAATAATAATAATAATAATAATAATAATAATAAAAATAATAATAATAATAATAATAATGTTGTTATTGTTGTTGTTATTATTATGAATTATAACAACCTACCAAGCCCCTTAATAGTTTTAGCCAGAGTAATATTATTCTGGTTACTTCCCTTCATTCATCAATTGAATCTAGCTGACAATCTAAAACGGAGTGAAGCATTTCGCAGTGTGACTGAATACTCAATCTTTGTAGAAGATGGGCTCTGACGTAGTACGTGACGCCATCCACCTCCCTCCTATCTCCTCCCTCTGTGCGGCTGACAGGCTCCTTCTCGCCTTGGACTAGAACACATAGAGGTAAGTTCTACATCTTTCAGAAAAAAATTAAACACTACAAGGTTTATGTTTATTTCACGGGTCCGTGACGAACATTAGTCTCCACAGGAATCGCAGCGGTACCCACCCCCATTGCATATTCTGTAAAACTCCATTGAGAAACCTAAAAATTAGACAGGCCTGCTGCTGTTATGTAGCTATCACCTGCTGCTAGCTTGGGCTGCTATCTTGTGATGCGGTCATTTGAATGGAAAAGTTATCAGCAGTCGCGCTGGTTCTTAGAAAGGAACAAAGTTAATGTTCTTTACAAATTGACTGTCTCGTCACGTTAAGCGCTGTATGTTTCACAGACCGGGTCATTACGCTCCTACCGCAGTGCCTTTCACCATCTAACCACCTTGACTGTCAGCTAATGCTAACCTGTTAGCATGCGAGGGCATGAGGATGCTGGCGTGATAACCTTCTCGTCCCAGTCATTCAGTTTCTACTGAGATCCTATTAATAAAACATGTATTTTTCTTTTAATATTACAGTTTTTACTGCTTTAGTTTAGGTTAAGAGTGAATGGGTAAAAGTTAAGGAATTCACTTCTATGTGCTAATACGCCATTTATTTGGTCTTTCAATCATATTTAACTCTTAATTTACCATCTATTTACCTTTTAAAGGCCCCCTTTAACACTCTGGAGGCGAGATTCATCGAGTCTGACCTAATCCTACGTTTTTACCACCTTTAAAATTTTCCTCTATAGTTCAGATTTAAAACCCTAAAATAGATGTTGAAGTACTGACTTTATATTTACTAGGGCTGAACGATTTTGGAAAATAATCTAATTGCGATTTTTTACTTTGATATTGCGATTTAATGCGATTTTTCTATCCTGGTTTAATTTCTCATGTCTTTTTAAACATATACAAACAAATCTGTTTCATAATAATCAGATTTATTTAAAGCACAGATTACAATAATAAACGAAACAAATCTGTGTGCGTTTACCTTATTAACATCTTCTCATGTTTCATGAAACGCGATATATAAACATATAGACTCCACTCCTTAAACATTGTCAGATTTTAACAGGACAGTCTAAAAATAAATAAACAAAATAAGAAACGAAATAAATCACTGATCTCCAGTCAGTGGCATCAAACATACTAAATTGCAGCATAGTATACCGAATGAATTACTTCTTTCAACCTGTAAACATTTTAATAGGTCAATCAAACTCTCAAATAAACAGAAAATAAATTAGTGTATGACCTTTTTAAATCCTAAGAAACGTTTTGAACAATCATATAAATTATATATTCACTCAGTAAGAGCAGCAAACAACTATTGTAAAGTGCAAAAAACATATGGCACTGTAAGCCACAAAGATTTGTCTCTGTATTTTTTTTTAGAAGCTCACAGATTTTTTGCCAGGAAAATCAGCATGTCAACTTTTGCTGGTTTCAAAGAGGAGCGAGTGCAAGTCACTATATTCCCTCCAGCACTGAAAAGACGCTCTGAAGGAGCACTTGTGGCTGGGACACAAAGATACTTGCGGGCCATGTTGCACAGTTGTGGAAAGTTAATCCTGTGCATCTTCCACCAGGCCAAGGGGTCTTCCTCTCCATCGATGGTAGGAGTCATGAGGTAGCTGTTTAACTCTGCCTCAACAACATCTTCGGGTTGCATGCAAGAAACAGAAGAGCCCACAGCAGTCTTGAAGAAACTCCCAAGAGACTTCTTGCCCTTTTCAACAGAGGGCTGTGCATTTTTAGGCATCGTTGTGGTTTCAGTATGACTTCTCTTCTCCTGTCAGATAACAAAAAAAATACAGTAATTAGTGTTGAGGTTAAATTATAACTAGAAAGATATATTGTGTTTATGGAATCATAAATGTGATAATTACCAACCTGGTTATATGCACGCCTTGCTGGTTGCATAATTTCAGTTTTGAGTCGGGTCTTAATGGTGGGAATGTTGTCTGCAGCGATGTACTTGGTTTTGAACCTTGGGTCTAGAAAGGATGCAACATCCAAAAGCTCCTGGATGCTGGGGTCACTGTACTTATCGGTGAGGTAAGCCAGGGCCTTGGTCTTAATTGACCTTGTCAGGTCAGTGTCCTCTTGGTTTTCAGCCAGGACTGATGTGGACAGAAGGTGAAGAACTGGTTTTAAGTAAGAGATGCTGACGTACTCCTCTCCAGAGAGAGCATCCGTAAACTCCTGGAGAGGATGCAGTGCCTTGTGAATGGACTCCAACACCTCAATATCCTGCCAGGTTGGGATCAGGGAGCGTGCATATCGGTCACCTGACAACACCTGAGTGATGGCTTTGAGCTGCTCTAGCACCCTGGCAATCATCATTTCTTTGGATCCCCATCTTGTAGGGCATTCAGTGATGAGGGAGTGCTCAGGAAGTTTGAGTTCCCTTTGAGCTTCAGCCATTGCTGCCTTCTTCTTCCAGCTGTGGGAGAAGTGCCCCACCAGCTTCTTGCACAGCCCTATTGCTCTGGACACTCTGTCATCTTTAAGTGCATGTCCTGCAACATAAAATTAGATTATTAGATTATATTATTATGCTGCAAAATTTGCAGCATAATGCAGTGCAAATCTACACTTCATTTCTTAATAAATAATATTAAGTACATTTATACACTATATTGCCAAAAGTATTTGCTCACCCATCCAAATTATTGGAATCAGGTGTTCCAATCACTTCCATGGCCACAGGTGTATAAATTCAAGCACCTAGGCATGCAGACTGTTTTTACAAACATTTGTGAAAGAATGGGTCGCTCTCAGGAGCTCAGTGAATTCCAGCGTGGAACTGTGATAGGATGCCACCTGTGCAACAAATCCAGTCGTGAAATTTCCTCGCTCCTAAATATTCCACAGTCAACTGTCAGCTGTATTATAAGAAAATGGAAGTGTTTGGGAACGACAGCAACTCAGCCACGAAGTGGTAGGCCACGTAAACTGACGGAGCGGGGTCAGCGGATGCTGACGCGCATAGTGCGAAGAGGTCGCCAACTTTCTGCAGAGTCAATCACTACAGACCTCCAAACTTCATGTGGCCTTCAGATTAGCTCAAGAACAGTGCGCAGAGAGCTTCATGGAATGGGTTTCCATGGTCGAGCAGCTGCATCCAAGCCATACATCACCAAGTGCAATGCAAAGCGTCGGATGCGGTGGTGTAAAGCACGCCGCCACTGGACTCTAGAGCAGTGGAGACGCGTTCTCTGGAGTGACGAATCGCGCTTCTCCATCTGGCAATCTGATGGACGGGTCTGGGTTTGGCGGTTGCCAGGAGAACGGTACTTGTCTGACTGCATTGTGCCAAGTGTAAAGTTTGTTGGAGGGGGGATTATGGTGTGGGGTTGTTTTTCAGGAGCTGGGCTTGGCCCCTTAGTTCCAGTGAAAGGAACTCTGAATGCTTCAGCATCCCAAGACATTTTGGACAATTCCATGCTCCCAACTTTGTGGGAACAGTTTGGAGCTGGCCCCTTCCTCTTCCAACATGACTGTGCACCAGTGCACAAAGCAAGGTCCATAAAGACATGGATGACAGAGTCTGGTGTGGATGAACTTGACTGGCCTGCACAGAGTCCTGACCTCAACCCGATAGAACACCTTTGGGATGAATTAGAGCGGAGACTGAGAGCCAGGCCTTCTCGTCCAACATCAGTGTGCAACCTCACAAATGCGCTTCTGGAAGAATGGTCAAAAATTCCCATAAACACACTCCTAAACCTTGTGGACAGCCTTCCCAGAAGAGTTGAAGCTGTTCTAGCTGCAAAGGGTGGACCGACGTCATATTGAACCCTATGGATTAGGAACGGGATGTCACTTAAGCTCATATGTGAGTCAAGGCAGGTGAGCAAATACTTTTGGCAATATAGTGTATCTCGTAATTTGTTACCTTTTTTTTTTTTTTTTATCAATGTCTATATCAAGTCTTGCAAGTTATACAGTTAATTCATTACAACAATACCTCCAAATTGGTATTGAATATCAGCCAATATGCAGAGCACAGGTACTGGATCATAAAATGAATGGATTGGTGCATCTCTAGTGAAAAAGGATATTAACTTTCACATTCTTTTACTCAACCCCTTACATTACACACACATTCTCTCTCTGCGCATTCACAATCACACACACACACCCACACAGAGATATCCTCTCTCTGCGCATTCACAATCACACACACACACCCACACAGAGATATTCTCTCTCTGCGCATTCACAATCACACACACACACCCACACAGAGATATTCTCTCTCTGCGCATTCACAATCACACACACACACCCACACAGAGATATTCTCTCTCTGCGCATTCACAATCACACACACACACACACCCACAGATATTCTCTCTCTGCGCATTCACAATCACACACTCTCATGCTGAGATACACTATATTGCCAAAAGTATTTGCTCACCTGCCTTGACTCACATATGAGCTTAAGTGACATCCCGTTCCTAATCCATAGGGTTCAATATGACGTCGGTCCACCCTTTGCAGCTAGAACAGCTTCAACTCTTCTGGGAAGGCTGTCCACAAGGTTTAGGAGTGTGTTTATGGGAATTTTTGACCATTCTTCCAGAAGCGCATTTGTGAGGTCGCACACTGATGTTGGACGAGAAGGCCTGGCTCTCAGTCTCCGCTCTAATTCATCCCAAAGGTGTTCTATCGGGTTGAGGTCAGGACTCTGTGCAGGCCAGTCAAGTTCATCCACACCAGACTCTGTCATCCATGTCTTTATGGACCTTGCTTTGTGCACTGGTGCACAGTCATGTTGGAAGAGGAAGGGGCCAGCTCCAAACTGTTCCCACAAAGTTGGGAGCATGGAATTGTCCAAAATGTCTTGGTATGCTGAAGCATTCAGAGTTCCTTTCACTGGAACTAAGGGGCCAAGCCCAGCTCCTGAAAAAACAACCCCACACCATAATCCCCCCTCCACCAAACTTTACACTTGGCACAATGCAGTCAGACAAGTACCGTTCTCCTGGCAACCGCCAAACCCAGACCCGTCCATCAGATTGCCAGATGGAGAAGCGCGATTCGTCACTCCAGAGAACGCGTCTCCACTGCTCTAGAGTCCAGTGGCGGCGTGCTTTACACCACCGCATCCGACGCTTTGCATTGCACTTGGTGATGTATGGCTTGGATGCAGCTGCTCGACCATGGAAACCCATTCCATGAAGCTCTCTGCGCACTGTTCTTGAGCTAATCTGAAGGCCACATGAAGTTTGGAGGTCTGTAGTGATTGACTCTGCAGAAAGTTGGCGACCTCTTCGCACTATGCGCGTCAGCATCCGCTGACCCCCGCTCCGTCAGTTTACGTGGCCTACCACTTCGTGGCTGAGTTGCTGTCGTTCCCAAACACTTCCATTTTCTTATAATACAGCTGACAGTTGACTGTGGAATATTTAGGAGCGAGGAAATTTCACGACTGGATTTGTTGCACAGGTGGCATCCTATCACAGTTCCACGCTGGAATTCACTGAGCTCCTGAGAGCGACCCATTCTTTCACAAATGTTTGTAAAAACAGTCTGCATGCCTAGGTGCTTGAATTTATACACCTGTGGCCATGGAAGTGATTGGAACACCTGATTCCAATAATTTGGATGGGTGAGCAAATACTTTTGGCAATATAGTGTATGTTACGTACCGATGGCAAGATGTAATCGGTGCCCAAAACACTGCAGTCTGGTCCATTCATTTAGTTGTGCTGCCAACACCATGTTTGATGCGTTGTCCGTCGTTATGCAGATGTGATTTTCTTCCGGTAAATTCCAGCTAGCCAGTCCCTCTTTCAAGCCAGCAGCAATGTTTTCCCCTGTGTGGTCGTCCGGGAAGTAGGAAGCTTGAAGGCAGCGAGCTTTAAGATTTAAGTCCTCGTCAATATAATGCACTGTTAGACTCTGGTACGGCTGCGCTGTTCGGCTTGACCACAAATCTGTAGTTGTTGCAAAAAACTCCACTGTTTTCAGCTCCGCAGCAACTCTGTCTCTGCATTTTTTGTATAGCTCAGGTATTGCGACTTGGTTAAAATATGTGTGCGAGGGCATTGAATACCGCTTATCCAACGTGTGTACCAAAGCCGTAAACCCAGGCCTGGTCACTATACTGACGGATATCATGTCTTTCGCTATAAACTCCGTAATTGCCCGAGTTATTTCAACGTGCCGTTTCGCATTATGTTCATAGGGAGTAACACTTTCAAACAGTTCGGTCAGTGATCCCTGTCGGGTGGTACTTTGCTTAACTGACGCTGAGGCACTGGTAGTTGCCATTCTAGCCATGCAGCTATCATACATAGCCTTGTGGTGTTTTTTCAAATGCTGATAGAGGTTCGTCGTGTTACCTCGTGAGGTAGCAACCATAGCAAGGCATGTCCGGCACAACACCTGAGTTTGCGCAGCGTCTTCTTTCTTAAACCCAAAAAAATTCCACACCAATGACGTGCCGCTCCTCTTTGGTACCAGACCTTCAGTTGTGTCGGTGTTTGTGCATTCTGACGCCATTGTTCAGCAAGTTAGTCGCAGACGACATCAGCTTTCCCTCTGTGTTGTTTGGCTAGCGCGTCACCGTCACGTGACCATCACGTGACCGTCAAATCGCGTCCATTGCGGTTAGAAAATCGCGTTTTATCATATCGCGATATTATTGCAAATGCAATTAATCGTTCAGCCCTAATATTTACCATAGATTTTGATGAGAAACCAGTTTTTTCTTTCATTCAGGGAAATTTTTCAAAGTTAAGTGTTGTCTTCATTGAAACAAGTTTGTTTTTAAAAGAGCTATCTAAGGGATAACTGGGAGATCTATATCCTCTATATCTGTTTCATCTCTCAAGAGATGCTCTGGACAAACTAGAAAACATGAAAGTTCAGTAGATGTTGAAGGTTAGAAGTTTAGGTAGGATGATGCAATGTAGTCAGATGTGATGTCACCCTGTAGTTATACGTTTCAGGGATTATAGCTGTTACATTAACAGCTTGGGTTTATATATATAGATATGTATTTTTTGTTTACATTTTTGCTTAAAATCCTTGGTAGATGCATCAGGTATAAACAGCCACCTAGGGATATTTGTACAAAATGTCTAATAAGAGGCTGAACCATTTTCAAGCTGAAAAAATTCAGGTACTAAATGTCCAAAACGGCAGAAATGTAAAAGTATGTGCACCAGTATTGGAGAGAACCTTCGTTTCTGCTGAGAAATTAAAGTAATCTATAATACTTTTTATATGTAATTGCCTGTATATCTGCAAATCTATTTTAAAACTTTCAAAAAGTCTGAAATTGCCTGGGTTGGAGCAGCAAAAATATGCTTAAAAGGTATTTTGTACTGAACTGCTTTATGTAGAAGGTAATTTCTAGTTGCTAGTTGGTTTAGAGGTGAGTAACTAATGGTTAATTCAAAAAGCGGATGTTTAATTTATTCTTTTGAAGTGTATTCCCATGTATTTGCTCTTAGTTATTGGAGTTAATGTTAACCAATCGAATTTCCACTTCTTGATTGTTTGGAATGGATTTTCTTAATTTCTTGCCTTATTTTGATTGGTAAGCATAGATGTCACTCTAACCTAGAAGCTATTTATTACATGTTGCATTAAAGTAAAACCAATTTTGATTAAGAGACCCGATCTGAAAGTCTAGGAGTCCCTATTTTATTCAGCAAGTGTTCCATTGTACCCTGTTATCTACAGTCAATATGTTAAGCATGTTATCAATGCACCCACGCAACTCCAGCGCTTTACTAACATTTGCTGCATTAAAAACTGTTCCTCTGTGTAGCCTGATGATGAAACATCTTGCAAAACTGATTGCTCATGAAAGCAGGGGACAAAGGCTTGCTCACAAACTTGATAGGAAGCGTTTCAGACAGTTGCCAAAGAGACGGCTTTGTGTTAAAGTCTGTGGTCCTCATTGTGTTCTGTTCTCCTAACCTCTTCCAGTTGGAAATATGAGCTTTTATTTGAGTGGGGGGTGAGTACGGTGTTAAACTGACAGCTGTTCTCTCTTAAAGAAAGCAGAAGCATGGTTGCTTTAAGGGAAACTCATTGAAAAAGCTTGTAGGCAAGTGTGTGTCCCATTAAAGGATACCTTTACACTCTATAGGTGACCTTCACCTGCCCATGGCTTCTTGTTTTAGGAACGCCATGCTAAGTGAGGTTTGTTTTCTTTTACTTTTTTTTTTTAGATAATGGCTGTACCTCCCACCTACGTTGACCTTGGAAAATCAGCCAGGGATGTTTTTACAAAGGGATACGGTAAGCACCACATTTTTTTTTACTATTTTTATTTTCAGAAAGAAATCATGAGCTAACAAAGATTTGACGTACAGAAAAGCGCTTTTAATAAAATTTTTTATACATTTGGAGCAGTATTCTCTCATGTTTTCATTTTACAAATAGCCACCTGAGCTATATTTTTGTTTGAGGTGTTGTTTTAATTGATGAATTTAACTTTTTTTCTCTTCCAGGATGTATGAATCTAACCTTTTTATAAAGCCTGTTAGTTTTGACCAATAGCAGTTCTCTGGGCTACCTGGTACTGCTTGAATAGATTGGGATGTAAAATGGCCATTCACTTTGTTGATGCATAAAGTTGAGTGTTTCAGCAGTAAAATAGGATATCATTACGTTGTTGAAGTGGTGGTTATGACTAGAGCCCTGAATGGTAAAGGCCAATATCGATTTTGAGGGCTTTAAAAAAAATGTATATTCTATATATTGGCCGATATTTGATATATATCGGCCAAAATGTATATATAAAAATAAACGTGTACATACACAGGATATTAACTGTCCAACTATAGTCCATCTCAAATTCTCGTAACCAAAAATTTGATTCAAAACAAATACACAAAAAACAGAGCTATATAAATAAGCTACTTTATTTTGAGCAGTTTCAACATGAAACTGTAAATACAATCAATTTTTGTAGTGCTGATTTAAATGTTGCTTCAAATTTGTGGTGTTTTTTCTTTTTTTTGTCTTGCTTGCTCTGGAACTTAAACACTGCAGCTGCTGCATCCAACAGCTGTTACATCCTTCAAGAAATGGCTCCACACCTGACTTTTCCCCTCTGCCTGTGAAATCAATATATTTACATTTAGTGTATTTTGCTAATTAGATATCACTTCTATAGATGAGCATTAAAAGATGAAAACAAGTGGCTGCATACAGCTTAAAGTGAAAACACACAGGCTAATGGGAGATGTTTAGGATCTGATCCATTTTTAAAAGACTCACAAAACAAATCAAAAATATACATTTGTCATATTTACCAGCAACTAAAAAGTTCCCTCCACCACTGAACACAAACGACTAAACTACATTTAAGTAGCAACACTGCAGCTTTTAAAACATCCAAACAGGACTACAACTAAATACAGAAATTGGAGCCTTTTTAAAAAGATAGTTTAATGAAACCATTAACTTCTGAATTATTGAGCCCCAGTATAGCCTGTATGTCATCATGAAGTTTAGTGCGACACAATATAATAATCTTATTTTCCTTCTAAAATTATGTTTATTTCACAAATAGCTGAAATGGTACTATGGTCGCCAAAACTAGCTCATATAAAACTCATCTGTTCTCCTTAGCGCACCCTTACAGCGTTTTTCAACCCGAATGTTTGTTGTCTTGGGCACTAAAGTGTAATTTCACAAAATCACAGCTTACTATGGAGTAAACGGCTCACTCTTTCCCTCTTCGTTCGCTCCAATTTTGACCTTTCAACTCCATGCTTACGCTAGCAACAGCTGTGTGAGACTGTGTTTGAGGGGAGGAGCAGAGCAGAGAGAGTACACTGTTCTCTGTGAGGGGAGGGGCGGCATGGCGCAGGTCAGCTCTTAGGAAGTGAGGAGCAGATTCAAGGCCAATTTATGCTTCTGACGCACAGCCTCTGCAACTGTCAAATCTGTCTCTATGCACGACAACGCCCCCTGCACAGAGGTTCTGCAACCGTCGTTGCGCACCTCAAAAAAATCCTGACTACGTGTCGGACAGTCAGAAACCTGCATAGACAAAAGCAGCTGTGATTGGTCCATGGTATGCCCTTCCGGTTGTCTGTGTTGTCGTCCTTCTTGATTCGGTGCTGGGGCGCGCCATTTTTAAAAACCGAGGACCAACTACAATGGACAACTACGACGAAAGGTCAATCGAGGAGGTTCTGAAGTACAACCACTTGTACGATGCCTCAGACAAATTATATAAAGATACCATGGTCTCTGCCAAAACTTAAGTTCTTGCTACCATACGCCGCTGTTCTTGCGAGTTCTCAAATAGGCTTTGGCAGGAAACTGCTGTGCGTCCATAGAAATTCCAGACCAACGGTGCAGAAGCATACCAGCAAAACTGGTTCGTGACCAGACCCAAGCGACATTTGATGTGTGTGGTTGCAGAAGTCTAATCTGCCCTTCAGCACCCAACCAAAGTTTCTTTCAGCTGTTTGCTGCAAAAATAAATGATATGATGTTATATTTATGTCTGCCAGATTAATACAGACGCCAGCACACTGCGCAGGTCGTGTCTGATCTAACAAGCCAAAGCAACTCTGTTTACATTCAATAAACATGGCGCAGTAGAGGTGAGAGGGATTCTGACAGATACTGGAGCCAAAGAATCACATTTACATTAATATTTAATAGATTTTTAGAAGTGTTTGTTTTCTCAAGCTATAGTTTGGGTCACTGCATTCTATATTGACATTGACATTTGTTCTGGCCGACAATCAATTTATATGATATTAGTGCTCAATTAATGAGGTTTGAACTGGTTTGAAATGTGACTTATGCCACTTTTTAGGACTGGTATGCCAATAAGCAGTCATTGAATGTCATATTTTAGTTTTGACAAGATTTCTTTAGATATATATAAAAAAAACTTATTTATATATATGTGTGTGTGAGGTAGTTTTAACGTAGCTAATTTAGGTGTGTTGTAGAAAACACTAAGCATTCATTTAACCAAATCTATTAGTTAATTCTTCTTTCATGGTGTGACTGGGTGTTCTGCCAACCTTGTTAGCATTTTCTTAGCCACAGCAACCAGAGCTCTGCTTCTAATGTTGCAAACAGGTGATTACCAAGACTGACTGAAAATAAGAGTGTGACCAAATAAAACCAAACTGTTATTTTCATACATGTAAATGTAGAGGGAGGCTGAATGTTAAAGCCATTGCTTTAAAGCAGCAGATGTAAATCTGCTGCTTTGCTTAGCCATGTGTCATTTCAGTTTTTAATGTAGTTCAAAGTTCTTCTTTTAAAAACAAAAAAAGCCTAACAAATCTAAATGTGGAGGTGATTTTTAATCATTTTTACCCATGACAACACACATATTAACATAGACTTAGCATGCCAGTAGCATATGTCACTTCTAAAACTGCCAGATGCCACTTTTCGTTCTAGGTGTTGCTGTTATTAATCATGGGTCTTTGCCCCAAATTCTCATTTCTGTGCGCCCATACATGCAAGGCTTTTTTCTAAATTCTAGACTCTGTTCTGCCTTTATC